CTAACATTAAGAAATCTTTGCAGTTTGCCTTAAAACCAATACTTGCTAGAAATAAAACAGTTCCTAGCACAAAACTTCGGCACACTGATTTGATGGGAAAGAAAGCATGGACAAACAGCCATGGAAGTTTATGAGCCAGTGGCTGGTGCAAAAGATTTGGGTACTTGCTGCAGGTGATGTCAAGCCTGGCCTATGGAGAATAAGTAACCTCACAGAAATGAGAGAGGCAYTCAAGAGATTTTGGGWTGGAAATGTAGAAATCTTYYCCCCAGCWTCCCTCAGAAGACATCCCATGGAARGAGAMGCCAGTTCCCAGAAATGACAAGTGGCTTACCGTTATCTTGGCCCAGGATGAGAGTATAAATGCTTCTGAGTCCAAACACATTCAAGAAGTACCATGAAGCAGAGCTCACCCTGACAAATCAGAACAAGCACAGCTGCTGTCAGTTCAAAGCTGGCTCATGACCTCATTCCAGCAGCACACAGAGATCATCCAGGGGTTATTAACACATTCAACATTTTCCAAGTGGGAATTGAACCTTGCTTGCTGAGAACAGGGGCTTACCAGGATGCATCTAAAGTGAGCAGCTCAATTCCCTGCTGCAACATAGGCTTAAAACGCAGCGTCAGAGGAAATGGGACCTTTGCTGCAGGATAAAGAAAAAAAAGCCCAGTTTCACACAGTGACACTGCATGACTGTAAAGCACATGGCAAAGTGAGCAGGTAGATCTTTTATTACATCTAATGTAGTCTGAGTGCAATGTGTACAACAACCAGTTAACTTAAATTTTGGAAAAAGCTGCAGTTCTGTATTAATTTTAATATGAAAAGACTTTCTGAAACTTTGTCAGATGATCTAACCCCCACAGGTATTACTTAAGTGACCGTGGAGGAAAATGGTTCCTGTTGAAGAGGTAGTTATCACATAAAGAGTCTAGAAAAAAAAAACCCATAACTATGAATTTAAGTATATTTTTATGTGTACACTCCAAATTACACAGTAACCAACTCCCTGGACAGGTGCAGAGGAAAATCCACTGTATCAACCTGAAGTTTTATTAAAATACTGGTTTTGTCACTACAGTTGTTCCTGATGAGCTATTTTCTCTGAGACCATGTTCAATACTCTGGAAACAATTTCCCCCCATGCAATGGGAGAAGCAAATCTATGCAGCTCATGGAGTGAAGAGCAGCAGTGCCACAACCCAAATTTATGTTACTTCTAACTGACTGCTGTCAGGTTGAGGAGCAAATCTCTGATGCAGCCCAGACCCTGAAGGTCATCTTCACAAACACAGCCAGACTCGTGTCCAGACACTTACTTGTGACAAATCCTGAAAATGTCATGTTGATCCAACCACCAATGAGGATCATAGGCAGAACATTGGTTACATTCCCTTTCATCATATCTGTCAACATGGTAGGATCTGCAAACCATAGATTGGATGTGAAGCAGCAGCATATCACAATAAAGGGCAACAAGTCATTACACATCAGCTAATTAAGAAACTGCATGAGACAACAGTCCTATCCCAGTATCTATGATTTTCCATTGCTGACAATACTTTGCAAAATGAGACAAGCAGCCAGAGTGGTGGTGGCTGCTGCCACAGGGGTGTTGTGTTTTGTGCTGCCTGACCCCATCCTTTGCTCCATATCTCTGAACTTGCCTGACCCCTCTATGAGCTGATCTGAGTAGAAGGAGAACAAATTACTATTTTGTTATGTACATTAGTTAAATTAAATTGGAGAGGATCCTGCAGGAGCTGGAGCAAAACACTGGCAAAAGGAGATGAGTTGAGAGCAGGACTGCCCACTCCTGGCTACCCTGAGGAGGTCAGGTCTCATGAGATGCTGCAAGCAGCTCAAGGCTGAAGTTGAGCAACATGGAGTGACCCAATGTCTTGTTACTCAAGAGGGGTATCTCACTCCCCCTGTGCCCAATACAAGCTGAAGAGTCCCACCCCCTTCCTCACACTCTCTCAACTCCCTGCAAAGCTGATTCATTTCCACTCTCGGCAGACAGTGACAGCTTTTTCTACCTGCAGTTATGGCTATAGCTGCAGTTATGGTACCTGAACATACCTGTCATTGGTGAAGGAGGCACTACCTTTCTTTTTGTTTTCTTAAAAAATCCATCCTCGGGGTTATTAAAAAAATATTTCCGGGACAGGAAAGACTGAAAACAGAAAAAGGCAATGCCAACACCATAAGAAGTAAAAGGACAGAAGCATTAGTTCTTGCTCAGACATTCAGACATTTTATGAGTTCTTTTGCAACACACCTTTTTTGGACTGACACCTCACTGCCCATGTATCTTAAAGCTCCCCACATTCCTCTGCATCCAAAGTACCAGACCTCTGGCTTTTTGAAATTCTTAAAATAATTATAATAAATCTCTGAAGAAAAGCCCATAAAAAAAATAAAAGAGCTTTTAGTGCTTTGTGTCAATTCTTTGTGCTGGTTGAGCACCAATATTGATACATGGGACATTTTCACTCTCCCAGCTGACCTCTGGACTTAAAAAATACACATTTGGTACCAACAGAGCCAACATAAGCGATGGATTTGTAGTTTAGTAAACATTTCAGCTGACATTGTACGACCACCTCGTTATCCCAAGCTTGTATTACATCCCTGCATGCTTGCTGGTAGATATTAAATACACAGATATTGGAGGCACACCTCATGTCAGCATGCAGTTAAAACACCAAGCTAACATTAATGTCAGAGAAAAGACATACATCGGTCCCGTGTTCAGGATTCCTAAGAATCTGCCCTCCTGGACAGTGCCCTCGCCCAGGGCAGACCCGGCAGTGTCCCAGCCCGCGGGCCCTTGTGGGCGCTGTTCCTCCTGCCCGCACAGCCCCGCGCTTTGTGCTCCTTTCACAGTCATCCTCTTTGTAAAGCCCCACAGCGCAGCTCCCTACCTGCTTTGGAATGTATTTTCCATTTTCCCGAAGGACTCTGCTCCGGATCAGGACTTGGCTGGAAGAGAAACACGTGGCGTTAGCGGGCCGGACCGGGGGAAGCGGGGGGCGGGCGGGGGCGAGGCGGGCCCTGACCTGTCGGACACCTGCTCCTGCGTGAGGCGCTTGTCGCTCTGCAGCAGGATGGACACGTAGTGCCGGATCATGCCCACGAAGAAGGTGATGAAGACGATGGGCAGCACCACCCATAGCCGGATGTTGGAGTCCAGCAGCAGCTCGGGCTCGCTCATCGCGGCGGTGCCGCCTCGGGCCCGGCTCCGGCCGACACCGGGCCGCCGCCGCACGCCCCGCTTCCGCTTCCGCTTCCGGGACCGCCCTTCCGCCGCTAGCGGAATGACGTCAGCGCGCGCCGCTGGCGGGAAACTTGAGCGCGAGCGGCGGGAGAGGCGTGAGGGGACAGCGGGACGGTGAGGGGACAGCGGGACGGTGAGGGGACAGCGGGACGGTGAGGGGACAGCGGGACCGGAGAGGCGTGAGGGGACAGCGGGACGATGAGGGGACAGCGGGGTGGGAGAGGCGTGAGGGGACAGCTGGGCGTCCTGTCTTGCCCTGTCCTATCCTGGCCTGCTGTGCCCTGCCCGGAGGGGACGGGAGAGAACAAGAGGTGGGCTCGGCTCAGCTCCGGTGCAGGTGGGCTCCGGTGCAGGTGTGCTGAGCTGAGGGAAGGTGAAGCGGACGCCTTTGGCTGTAGGCACGATGAGAGAAGGGCTCTCCGGTGGTGGCACAGCACGCCTGTCTGGGCTGTCAGGCTGTGCCTCGGAGCCAGAACAGAATCACAGCTTTGTTAGGGTTGGAAGGAACCACCGAGATGATCCAGTTCAACCYCTCTGCCAAAAAAGGGTCACCYAGAGCAGGTGACGCAGGAMMGGGTCCAGGTGGATTTGGAATGTCTGCAGAGAGGGAGACTCCACRAYATYCCTGGGCAGCTGTTCCAGTGCTCTGCCATCCACAACCTAAAGAATTTTTTTGTCAAATTGAGGTGAAACTTCTGGTGGGTTTAGTTTTGGCCATTGCTCCTTATCTTTGCGCACCACTGAAGGGAGTCTGGCACCATCCTCTTGGCACCTGTCTTTGAGATGTTTATATATCTAAAACAGCTGTGAAAGGCTTATTGCACTTTTGATTTTTAATTATTCTATTTCCATACTGATATTTTAAGAACTCATTTTACTAGCCTTTGCCAAACAGTTGGCATTTAGTGTGAGGTATTCATACATATTTTTTTAATAACCTGTAAGTTTTAAAGGTGAGTAAAGATTTATTTTTTTTCTTTTTAATCATCACCAGCCCCCAAAAGAGGATGGGTTAGATGTAGATTTGTGCTGAGAGAGATCATTTGCCACGATACCTGGTTAGGGACATGAACAGGGTCAGTTAGTGTGGTTGGGTTTATGAGCACTCATCTGTGAATCCTTTGTCCAAGCATGTGGAGAAGGTCTTGAGCTTAGATCAGTGGGTGCAGTCTGAGCCCTTGTAGTTGTTCACTTCATCTTGCCTGGGTCTGAATGAAAGGCCAAGCCTTGTTTTATGAGGAACTAAATTTTAGCAAAAGTGATGTATTGTGCTAGTTGAAAATGACAAGCTCTAAAATTTCATCGTGCACAGCAGAAAAATGTGGTGTGATATTGGTTACCCAGGCAATCTGTCTTTCTTTGAGCACTCTCAATTTCTGTTGTATTCCCTTTTGCTATTTACTAATACCTTCTAGATTTGCTTAAAGAGATTAATAAAACACTTGTCTTTTTCTTGCATTTTTATAGGCAACAACAAAGGTTTTGTTACCATGGTTTCAAAAAGGAAATTGTCAAAAGTTGATGATTCTGGAGAGAGCTGCAAGGCAGATTTGCCAAGTAGGTGCTTGGGTATCATCTTACTGGGGTGGAGAATCATTGATAGAGGCAACAGCTCCAAGGGGTTTTGATAATGCTGATTGCTAATGACTTGATTTTTTTATATATTTGATGGAGCATGTCTTGTTTTCTCAGAAATTAAGAAGTCACGGCTTTCTGATAAGGAAAATGCCTCTGCCCTCTGTGGATTGGAGAATGAGGGAGTCTTTGAAGAGCTCCTTAGGACAGCAGGAATTGTGCTGAAAGCTGGGGAGGGACAGAATGAAATAGGTAGGAGTTGAACACTTGCTCTTTCTGCATTTAGCTGAAAACCTGCAAAACCTGCAAAGATGGCTGGTACAAAGTGAAGATATGTTTCACTGGCAGGACAAAAATGCTTCAGTCAGCTTGTTCCAAAATTCAAACAAACCTTTATCTGGCCTCTTATTTGTCATATACCTTTTGTTCCTGCTGAATTTAGTACATCACCTAAACTCATACCAGCTCTTTGTGTGTATATCTGCTAAGTCTCAAGACTTCTGAAAGATTATTGGAGGTATATGGAAAAATATTAGATGGCACCTGTGATTACAGTATCGAATTATGGAGGCAGGAACTCTGAAACAGGAAAAAGCCATGTCATTGTTGCCTTTCAGCTCAGACAAGGCCTTCAAGACCTCCTATGTTCAGCCTTTTCAATGCTATCAGCTGCTCTCAGCCCTGACTGAGAAAAAGCACAAGTGCTGATTCCTCTCAGACTTTTGCTAACTGGAGTTCTCAATCGAGCAAATGCAGAAATATTGGTGGATGGGCTTGAGAGCTTTTACTTGGTGTAGCTGTTGTGATGTTGTGTGGATAGAACATGTGTGGTTCTTTGTTTTCTTTTTAAACTTTCTCCTTAGCTGTTGATCAAATGGCTTTCCAGAAGAAGCTCTGCCTGGCCCTGGAGAAGCACCCTACTTACCCAGGTGTAAGTAACTTTGGCAGGAGCCACATTTAAAGCTGTTTGCTAAGTAGCAAGAGATGAAAATGCAGCTGCCCATCCCTGCTAGTCCCATACAAAATGTGCCACTTAGTAACTTGCCTTGTACTAATGTGTTCAGAATTTTCCGATTCTCTCAGTGTTGCTGTTCTAGCCTTTTGGTCTCACTGTTCTTCTGACAATGCCCTATCAAAGTAATTTTCATTGCCAATATTATTCAACAGACAAAGACTCTTTCAGGAGAAAAATCACTTTCAGGGTTTCTGGTGGAAGCTGGTTTTGGTTTTGTGTTGGGTGGGAGCTATCAGCATTTAAATTGCCCTGATGTGGTGTTCCTCTCCAATCAGCTAATGACTAATTGCTGCTCTCCAATCAGCAAGTCCAGGGTGAAAGTCCTGAGGCAAGTGATTTGAATAGAAATGTTTTTTGGGTGCCACTCTTGTCACATTAAATGTTGCTGGCTCAGCTGAAGAGGAAGAGAAGCAAAGCCTCTTTAAAGCCTTTTTAAATCAAAGCAAAATGTGAGACATTTGCTTTATAGTAGAACAATCAGTGTTTGCTTTTGGAAATGGTCTAGACTAGCATTCATGTATTATCCAGCATTCCTTCCATAACAGTTTCTGTCTGCAGTTCCTTGGTTAGCTTTTCCTGGTTCCTATCATCTGCTTGCAGAATGCATCCTGAAGGATAGCAGTAGACTGGGGTGCTCCTTCAGGGCTGATAACTTCTCTCTGCTTTGCAGGTTGTGAAGCAGTTCATCAGTGGCCTGGAATCTCACATCAAGGATAGGAACCAGTTCAAGAACTGTCTCTTGCCGTGCACTCCTGTACGGACTGAAGGGTCAAGGTACAGAAAATCTATTTTGCCTTCCCCTTCAGTCAGCCAGTCTCTAGTAATGTCCTGTAACGCTGACCAGAGTGGAGGGAAAGGCTCCAGTGCTGCACCACAAGGCAGGATGGCTGGTGTAGTACATTGCTGTTTAATAGCTGTGAGTYTAGAATGTTAAGTCATAGAWTTTTTTGTCTGCCCATGGCACACAYTGGACTCCATGGCCTTTTATGCAAGAACCAAATATTGTGAAAAAAATTCACAGGGCTGGCGAATGTCAATTCCTTTTTGAGACTTTTTTTCTAGGAGATACAGCTTAACCACAGACTTTCACATTTCTAGTGTTGTAGAGAGTGAGGTGGTTCAGAGCTGAAGTGTGATTTTAAATCTCTTTTGTGTGTGTCTATGATTACCATGTGTTTCCTTAAGTTATTGTGTGTAGTTTTTAAAAAAAATAGTCATGGAGAGAGCTACAGCCTGTTCTCCTAACATGTTTTTGACAAAACTGTGGTGGAATCTTTCACCTTGCAGGAATCTGGTGCACTCATATTGCGAAAGCCTCATTAAACTGCTTCTTGGGATTAAGATCTTACAGGTATGGGCACTTTAGCTTGTTCTTTACAGTGGTTTTGATTGTGGGGAATGTTTTGCTTATGTAAGTAAGGGATTAATAGAACTGGTTTTGAGGCAGGTGAGGCTCCTTCTGGAATAATATCCAGTTTGTTGTTTCTGTAGGGACACAAAGATGCTCAGTCTGAGGCACGTGGCAGACAAGCAGAGGCAGAGGGAACTGGGTTTGTTCAGTTTTAAGAGAAGATTAGGAGAAATTCTGTGGTCTTCAAAAATCTGGTTGCAAGGTGTGGGGAACACAGAGCCAGACTCCTCTTAAAGGTGAACAGGGGCAGAATGAGAGGTGATGGTTTGGATCAATCATGGGAAATTCTGATGAGATATAACCACTTCCACTGAGGAGAATGTGTTTTTTTTTTTTTTTAAGTGGTAGAGCTGAGCACTGTTTTTAAACTTATCTAAAGTTGATGCTTTATTTTCTGTGTGGTGAAAAACAACTCAGCTGGGTATGAGAAAGAGGTTTGTTGGCCCAGAGGAATTGTACATCCTGCCTAAATGCACCGATTCTGGCACCTCTCCACTGGTGGTTTTCACTTCTCAGGCTGTGTGCCTTCTTTCTGGCATTAGACAAGAGGTTTCTTATACAGGAAATACTTTTATTGATCCTTTTGAGTATTTTATTCACTGTGTATATTTCATCTTTTGTGAAGGGTCAGTTTTGGGGGCAATACCACAGCACAACCAGTAAATCACCCTAACACTGTCTTTTTGCCTTTCTTTTAGCCTGCTGTCATAACGCTGTTATTGGAAAAGATTCCTGAATTCTTTTTTGACATGTGAGTATAAACTGGCTTTTCTCTGCCTTGAAATGAAATTTCTTTTGGACAATCATCAGCTGTTTGACTTTAACTGTTACTTCAAATTTACCTGAATGGCAATTTGCACTGATTTTTCCTTCACACCTGTGGGTTTTTTCCTTCGCACCTGTGTAAAATTATCTGTGAGGTACCATGGCCTTAAATTTGTGGGTGCATAAAGTAGAAGATAGGTTTCTGGAGGCTGAAATACAAACGTTGTGCTTAGATTGATTGTGCTTTTTGCAGCTACTGACACAAGCTTAGGAATTATTTCAGCAGAGGGACTATGGAGTGTCTCAGACTGAAATCATAATCTTGTTTGAGGAAAGCTTAACATAGACACTCACAAGGTCTGAACTGTTTTCACCCAAAAATTCTAAAGGATCTTAAATGTAAAAATGATAAGATGTTAATTGTGCTGTGAATCCTTTGGGAATTCTGAAAAATTGATGTTGTTACACTTGTCTCCTATCAAACTAAGAAGACTGAAGTTTTTTCTATGTATTAATGACCAGTTAAGAATGGGGTTAGTTGGTCTTGCTCACCAGCAACAAAGCTTTTGAGTCTGTAAGTCTGACTCAGCTGTGTGTCATTTTCTGCTGTTTCAGTGTGGGCACCTTTGGAACAAATTTCCCCCGGCTCATCGTCAATCAGTTCAAGTGGCTTGACAAGCTCCTTGACAGCCAGGTGGGTACCAGAGGTACAATCACACGGATGCTTTTGCCAAACAACTTCTGGAATGCCTCTCAGGTGGGATGAGATGAATTATTGTGCTAATGAGAGTTGATGGTTTTGTATTCACATGCTGAAGGAGAGATTTAATTTTTTTCTGTTTTGTTATGACGGCCTTGAGTGACCTCTGAATTTCTTTTACTGTTTTTCTTCTTTTCTTGCTCTAAGTCTTCTTTTACATAAATTTATATCTGTGCATGTGTATTTACATGGTTAACCTCGTTTTAAAGCTGTTGGTGACAGGAAGTTACAATCCCCTCTTTTTTAATTTTAACAAATTCCTGGATATTTGCAAGCATGTGGTGATGATAAATTTTCTGTTCCTGCTCTGGTGATTCTTTTCCTTCTTTCCCTAAGTTAGTTGGTCTCTGTGGTTACTCTCTGCTGGAGTACTAAGCACGGGGAAGCTTTTTGTTTCCCAGTTTCCTTTGCTTGCCAAGATCATTATATCCCACCTGTAAAATACCATTGTTCCACAAAAGTCTATGCTGTACTTCATTACTTCAGCGGGACAGTTGACGTAAATCCAGGCAGACCTGAGATGCATAATATTGTTGTTTTGTTGATGTTATGCTTGCTCAAGATGAGACTTTTGCATTTCACCAGTGCTCTTCTTTGCAGGATCTGGTCAAGAAGTTAATGCAGATGGTTAGTGTCTCTCCAGTACCAATCCAGCATGATATTATCACCAGTTTACCTGAGATCCTGGAGGATTCCCAGCAAAGTGAGGTTGCCAGAGAGCTCAGGTACAGATGATTTGGTTGGGAGGGCTTGTTTTGTTTTGTTATTTTCCTCCTTGCACTTAGCAGCAAAGGACAAGTTGCATTAATGCAGGTTGCTCTGGGGTTGAAGTGTTAGGACAGCAGTTAACAGTTCCTGTTAACTACAACATTTGGGGATACCTAGCACTGCCTTGGGACATTCTATTGAGGCTGTTACGCTCTTAAAGAGARCACAGGCAATCCAGCCAAACACATTGCATTTAGACAATGCTCCAAAACTGCTTTTATCTAAACAATTATTAAACTCTTGATTATCTGGATGCAGCACAGGTAGAATCTGGTTAAGTACTCACTTCTTCCGTTGTAATGAATTAGAGAGCATAAATAGARTTACCAGGAACCTAATGTTTTGTGATGTGTTTTTCAACTAATACAGTTTAAGTAGAACTTCTTGCTAGGGAAAGTTTATAAGAAACTGAGATGTCAGCCAAGAATGATTAGATGAATTTTGGGAAAGTCCATGAGGCTGTTAAAGACATGTGCAGTTCTTACATGGGAAGTAATAATTTAGGGAACGAGTTTTCCATAATGCCAGTGGCATATATTGTCAGTTCAGCGATTTCCTTGCAGTGACCACAAAAACTACTGGAATCATACAATACACTAAAGATACATTATTGGTTTTGTTAAGAGGACCGTTTGTTTTGTTTTCCATGTGTATCAGCTGCTTGCTGAAGCAGGGCAGACGGCTGACAGTTCCAATCCTGGATGCTCTTTCTCGTCTGGATCTTGATGCAGAACTTGTGGCTGAGGTGAGAGCTTTTTACTGAGCACTTCAGCAGACCCCAACCCCTGCTTAGCAGCAGAGAGCTGGAAACTGTTTCTTCATTTCAAGTACTTTGTTAAACCTGACTCCTGTAGGCCTTCAAATGTCCTGAGCTCCTGAAGTTGGAAAGAGGTCAGAAGCTAAAGCTGGTTTTTGAAACATGTATGAGGGGATCAGTGAAGAGCAAAGAGTTTTCTGCCTGCTACAGTATGCATTCAGAAATTTCAATCACAGCTGTTTTGGCAAATGCAGAAGCACTTTGTCCTGCTGCAGTAAATTTTTACAGCCTATCTTAAACCTATTTATTGTCAATATTTCATCTTTTTGAACTACAGTGACCAGATTAGACTGTTATATTCTAAGGAAAGGCAGATTGGTGAATGAATAATTAAATAGGTTTTCTCTGCAGAATGCTGATACAGGGGAAGAGATGATGATATGCCTTGTGTCTTTTGGACATGTTGCATTGCTGCACTTCTTGGAGTTGAGCTTGTTATGAGTGAAATGGAATTGGTTCATTTGAGTGCATTAAATTGTGTTTTACATAATCCCAAAAGGCTGGTGCTGCGTAACATACACATTCACCATGCTTTTCCTTTTTGAAAGCCAAGCTCTTTTTGGTGAAGAGTGATAAGGGGCAGTGGCCATAATAGGAGGTTCAGGTTGGACATTTGGAAAACCGTGTTAGGGCCTGCAGCATCCTGCATCAAAGAGGTGGCAGGGATTGGAGATTTCCTCCATCCTTGGATATCTTCAAGACTTAGCAAAGCCAAGGTGAATCCGATCTAATATTGCCAATACTCCTGCTCTGAAAAGAAGGCTGGACTATAAGTCTCCAAGGATTCCTTCCCACTACCTTAACTATTTATCTGTGCACAATAGTCTTCTGGCTGATGGAGTGTTGCTCTTTCCTCAGGTGCGAAAGTCTGCCATGACCATTGTGCCATCTGTAAAACTGGAAGATTTGCCTGTAGTAGTAAAATTCATCCTCCAAAATGTCAAGGCAGCAGATGCAGTAGAGGTACAGTATTTTTTTGTAATGAAGACCAGTGTGTGTTTTAACAGAAGTTGCTTCACAGAGAATTGTATGTTTTTAATGTTTTCAAGTAAAAGTTTAATATTGCCAGGAATCAAAGCCAGCCTGGCTGAACTATCAAACAGACTTTTTTTCATAAGTTGAGGAAACCTCAGCCTAAGCCAGATGAGGTTTGTAATCTGCCCAAATCTTTCAGGGAGATCCCTGTAAAAGAAAAAAAAAAAAAGTGTGCCTWTGACACAGAAACCAGTCTGTGCTGGTACACTGCAATTTGACAGTAGTCAGATTGATAAACTTACATGTCTCAGAATTCTTGTGATTGTCATATATCTTGCTCAGCTGCTGAACAGTAAAAACAGTTCACAGGAGCATAAAGCAAATATAGGTGGGAATTTCACAGAGTAGCTCTTAAAAAATTCTGCTTTCTGTATGCATCTGTAATATCATGACATGACAGCTGAAGAGACAAGTTTTGCTGGTTCATTTTCTAAGTTAAAAAAAATTTGGACATGATGAAGTACTTACGAATATTTTCAAGTATATAAGGTCTTGGTTTGTAATTTTGGGTTATTATGGGAAATTGTTTTCCTCAGCTTTTTCTGTTCTTCCCTTTTTTRCCACAGTGATTTGTGCATGGATTTGTACTTTACAGGTGATTTCTGATCTTCGTAAGAACTTGGATCTGTCGTCATGTGTTCTGCCCCTGCAGATCCACAGTTCCCAGAAGAAGATTAAAAGCCAAGTCCAGGCCAGGTAYTTAAACAGGTTTACATGATTCTCCAAAGATAGGATGGGACAAAAGTACTTTAAACTCTTCCTTTGCTGGTCTCTCTGGCACAACTGGCTACATACATAAACCCCATTTATCCTATGGAAAGGCACAGACACCTTTATTCCTTCCTGCTTGGTACTAATAAAATGCATTTGTCAGTCCTTGCCCAGCCAGCTTCCCCTGCCATGGATGTCGTTCCTTTTGAGCCGTCTGCATCCATGTCTGCACAAGGGATAAGCAATTTCATTTATAATATTGTTGTATWTAACAGTTCATCTGTGGAAAGTTCTCTCCAGTATGTTTTCCATTGATTCTSTGAGCTCTGTTTCCACCCTCTTGTGAAACTCCCTATCCTTGCCAGAGCATTCTCTCTGGAGAGTGGCTGCTTTAAGTAACTGCTGGGCTGCCTTATTCCTTTTGTGACAGTATCAACAGGGATTGAGTTTCCTCCTTTCTGATCGTTTGCAGTTCTTCCCTGAGCCAAGTAACCACCAGCCAGAATTGTGTGAAGCTACTTTTTGATGTGATCAAGTTGGCTGTGAGATTTCAGAAAGATGTCTCAGAAGCATGGATTAAGGTAAGGTATATGCTTCAGTCTTTSTTTCCTTATTTGTTTGGGCTCTTTGGTTGAGCTTGAGCCTGAGCCTTTCCTATAATAAAATATGATATTAAAAGACAAATRTTAGCCCTTCAGTTTACTGATACAGATTTCATTCTGCAAGAGAGGAAAAGTGTTTATCCATGTATTGAGACTGAGCTGCATGAAGCCTTAAGGTGTTTGAAAATGTCCTGCTAGAAATCAGTATCAACTGGTATTAGACTAAATTTAATTTTAAATTGTTTTTCAGTGTAAACAATGAGACTTTGTCTTGTTCTCAGCCAGTACCTCAGTTCCTTTCTCAATCCTGATGTTATTTGAGAACATCTTTGTTCAAACTCGATTTTCAGCTATTTTTTTGATTTGGTTTTGGAATATAGTATTGTACTGTAGCTTAACAGCTTGCTTGTTTTTTTATCTCTCAGGCTATTGAGAATAGCACATCTGTGTCTGACCATAAGGTAATACTTCTGCTCTCGGAGTGTCCTCCTGGTTTTTCAAGGGCTTTCTTTATGGTTGTAGATTAAGAGATTTTTCTACATGGAGCACAAACTGCCAGTGATATTCCATGGGTGGTTCTTTTGGTATTGGACTTGTTACAAGTATAACAACCATCTCTTGTTTATAACTCTTGGTTCATCCTTTCCTAATGTGAAGGGACAGTTATCTTGCTTTAATTCTGTCCTGTTGGACTCGTAAGGTTGGAACTGACTGATTGTTGGGACTTCTTGAGCTCTTTTTATCTTCTCAGTTTAGACTTTTAAGTTTTGCCTTGGAGTTATCTGGACTGTTTAATATTGCAGCATAATAAATGGTGGTTATTTCCTTTAAAAGGTTCTGGATCTGATTGTTTTGCTGCTAATCCATTCTACAAACACCAGGAACAGGAAGCAAACTGAGAAGGTCTTGAGGAGCAAAATCCGATTGGGCTGCATGCCAGAACAGCTGATGCAGAATGCCTTCCAAAACCATTCAACGGTCAGTGCCATCCCTGCTTTGGGACTCTCTCTTTTACCTCTCAAAGGTCTTGGCAGATGATGATTTAGCCCTACATTATTATAGTACATGATTAAGTGCTGCATTATTTATACATTTCCAGTTATGTACTTTTACTTCTGTTTTTTAATTTTTTTGTCCAAATCAGTGTCCCAAGGCACTTGTCCTCTGTTGTAACTGTCATGTGGTCTTTGGAGTTGAACATTCCTCAGCACTGTATGTGTTGAAAACAAGCACCAATAATCTCCTCTTTCATGGTGTCTGTATTTCAGGTTATCAAAGACTTCTTCCCTTCAATCCTAACCCTTGCTCAGATGTTTCTGCACTCAGCACACCCAGCTGTGGTCTCCTTTGGCAGCTGCATGTACAAGCAAGCTTTTGCAGCCTTTGACTCTTACTGCCAGCAGGTACAATGAGATGGTTTTATTTGGGTTTGCACTTTGTTCTGGAGTGTATGTCATGATCCTTTAGGGGACAGGGTTTCAGGCAGTTGGAAGCTCTGGAGAGGTCTGTGCCAAAGACTAGGCCAAGAAGAAGATGGGGAGCAATCCCAGCAAGACTGGTAGCAAGTGACTAAGGCACAGAGACTGCTGTGATTAACTCTACTTGATCAACTTAGTTCATATGAACAGAGCAAGGCAGACATTTTTCTGTTGATATTTCACTGTGGTTCCTCTGGGGGCTTTTTGCTTAGGAGGTTGTGACTGCTTTGGTGACTCATGTGTGCAGTGGAAGTGAGGCAGAACTGGACATTTCTCTGGATGTGCTCACGGATTTGGTGGTGCTGCACACATCTCTGCTGATGCGCTATGCTGCCTTTGTGAAGGTATGTGCAGTTCTGAGCGTGTACTGCTTTTTTGGTCCCTTACACTACTTTGCCTCATATCCAGAACKGGACAATACTTCTCCAAAATAGAGGTATTGGAAAAACTTGTACCAGCTTTTCTGTCTGGAAAAATGCAGTGGTCAGAAGTGAAAGGTATCTGCTGTCAATGTGTGAACTGTAAGATAGGACTGCATGATTTTTTTGATAGGAGACATTAAGATAGACAATTCTTTTTAGCTGGACAATGCTGTAATTCCAGGTGTGGAATGGTGCCTAAAATGGAAAGAAAATKCTGTCTTTATTTACACCAGCTATTTCAAGTACTTGGCAAAAACCTGACACCTCTGGACTGCCCATTCGATCCATTGAAAGACTGACACTACYTCAGCAGTATTTGAATCCTAAGACAAAATTGCTTGCAGAGATGGAAAAAGAGATGCCCTAATATTTAAAACAAGAAAGTACTCAGTGGGGAGAAAAAACTGGACTACTGAGTTCTAAGAAGAATAGGTCAGACCTGCCCAGTTGCCTTTTTCCAAAAGTAGTAGAAGTGGAGATTGAGGGAAGAGCTAAATGGGCAAGCATGTAACAGTACTTTCCCTGAACACTCCTTGTGGTGGTTTGTAGCTTAAGGACATCCTGTGTATAAGAGCTCTTGAAGAGGGTGGGTGTGGGTATTCCCCCACCTCTGACATTTTGGTGCTCCCTTGGTGTCAGTGGACCCTGTGGTTTAATTATACAGTGGGGGAAAGTTGCATACTTTTTGCTGTTGATTGTTAAAAATTAAAATTACTTGTTAAATTACCAAGTTRAATACTTTGTATCCTCTGACCAAACCTGTTCTAGAAAATAGATAAYTGCCACTAGTCCTGAGCACTCCTCAAATGCTTATGTTAGCCAAATTGTTCTTCCCATTTAGCCTCTGATAAAATAACTTGTAATTAAGGCCGGAGCAACAGTTTGGCATTTGTGTTTCTTTAATTTGAATGTAGCCTTTTCATGCACGCATTACCTTTACTAAAAAGGTAAAGTTAATTGTCTTCCCTGAGGTTGACAATGTATTTTTGAGAATATGGCAAGATGYTCTTGATACATCTGAGCTACCTTGTGGCTTCTCTTACAGACCATTTTAGACTCTACGCAGAAACTGAATCCATGCCAGATACGGAAGCTCTTCTACATCCTCAGCACCTTAGCATTCAGCCAGAGGCAAGAAGGGAGCTACATTCAGGTATTCAGAGAGACAACAGAGAGTTGTTCAGGCTGTGCCTGGGTTCTTCTGCTAGGTTAACTAAATAGTAGCCTCATCTATGAACAGTGATTGATGTCAGGATCTCCTTCAGCTTAAAATTTCCTTTTCCCCAAGTGGCTGCAAGCCAGCTTGCCAATCCAGACTTTCCCCCTGATATCAAGGGCTTGTCACAGGGACTGTGTGCCTCTCATCTTTCTCAGAAAGGTCCTCTCCTCTTGCACATCTAAGAAAGGTAGAGTTGCTAGACGTATTGTTGGAAGGGGATTGGTGGCAGTCCCTCATCTAACCTCGCAGTCAAAGTGGGAATGTCACCAGCATGGTGTCATGTTGACTGTTGCTTTGTCTAGCTGAGCCTTGAAGGCTTGCAAAAGTGTAAATTCAGCAGCCTTCATGAGCAACTCTGTTTCTCTATCACTTGGAAGCCTTCAGAAAGTACAGTTCAGCTTCTTCYCCAAGATGTTTGTATTGATTCAGCCACTTAAATTATGTACACCAGAGACAACAAAGTCTCTTGTTGGAAGAACTGAACTTCACAGAGCAGAGGACTCTGCTGTGAAGTGGTAGACTTCATGCCTCTTGTGCCTCTGGTTTAAACCTGAGAAGCTGTCAAACATGATCTGTCTAAATCTACCTTCATCTTGCACAGGATAACTTGTGTGACTGGCACCACAACAGTGGTGGTATTGGATACCTTTGTCTGGATCTGAATCCTTGAGCACAGCACATATAGAATAATTCAAAGATATTTATTTCACAACAGAGATGTCTGGGTTTAAAATCTTCCCATTCATAAAGTTCTACTCTTAGAAATTAGGACTATTTGCCTTTCTTTGAGTCCCTGTGTGGTTTGTAGTTGTGGAAATGTTTGAATATGCTAACTTGAGACTATAAAGGAAAACTGCTTGTCCTGTCCCGATTGGTCTGTGGCATGTAAAACAGCATGTCTGTAGTCATTTTGGCCCTTCCCACTCACCCTCTTAAATTGGAGCTCCTCACTGCCAAAATTCCCAGTTGTTTGGCAGGTTTAGTTCCTTTCTGAACTRCTTTCCTCAGCGATTTCCCTGCCTCCCACCATAAGACTTTATGTGTGACTCGTGAAAATTGCCTTGGCAACACACAATGTGATTTCCAGCCCAGGAGAATTTGCCATCAGGATGTTCTGCCTGTCACCCTCAGAAGTTGTGAAAAGAAGGGGAGTGTCTAGAATTTATTTTGAGCTTAGMGTTTGTAACTGTGGAGATCCAAGGTTGGCAATTTGACTCTATCCTCAGTGATACCAAAGATTCCAGGGGTAGGTCACCAAAGAAGTCAGTATTCTGAGAGCCAACTTCCCCTTTGCCATCTCTGAGTGTACTGCTAAACCAATGCCTCTTAGATATGAGAATCTCTGTGGGAAGATTAAGCTTTTTCTCTTGCCCTGCCTAGTTTGTCATTGGACCTTCACCACAAACTGCTCCTCCATCCCTCAGCCTCCTGAAGCTGACAGTGTTTTGAAATGCAGCTCTGCAGCTGCTGTTTGGGTGTGACAGGCTTCAAGACCATCCGCTATTTTTTTAACGTACTCTTCTATTAATTATAGGTGAAACTTGGACCAACTACACATTCTCTGTAGTAATTAGAGCAAAGTCAAAGCTAATCACTTTTATTGTTGTTTGCAGCCTTACTTGGAGYTGTGACCAGTATTTTCATAATAAAGGAAATGTCAGAATGTGCATTCCTTAAACAAARCTGTAACCCCAATAAACCATCCCCTGTAGCTCTTGAAGATGACCTTAAGTGAAGATGCCGATAGAACTGTGAGTGATACACACAAGTGCCTCTGTCGGGACATGGTCTGTCTCTCTTTTCAGGATGATATGCACATGGTGATCAGGAAATGGCTCTCCAGCACAGCTCCCAACCACAAACAAATGGGGATTATTGGTGCTGTTTCCATGATAGGCAGAGTGGCATTAAAAAGGTGAGAGAAAATGTAGCAAAGATGAATTTAATACAGCTTTCAGTTCAGGCCTGGAGTGAAAAAGGAAACAAAAACAGGAGGGCATTGCCTTTGAGTTMATGCACATCTTGGGCAAATCCAGAAACTTAAAACTCTTGTCTGCAGACTGCAGTGTTTGGTGTTCCAGCTTGTTCAGTGCTGCTCACCTGCTGCTAGTCTCAAAGGCATCCCAAATTCCATGTTAATGCCTGTTKGTGGATACCTTGACTAGTAGCAGCAGGACCTCTTTCTTGGAAAAAAAATTGAACAGTGATGGACTGGCTGCAGATCAGCTTCTGACTCCAGGCTGAATAACCTGAATCCAGGGAAATCTAAAAAAGAAGTCCCAAGCAGCATCAGATTTTCCTAATCTGTTCCAAAGAAATCTTTTTCATGCGTAATTCTCCAGTTTCTGGAGAGAGAGCCTTGTGTGTATGATGGGTTTTGCCATCTCCTGAGTCTTGTGCCACAACAGCAAGGTTATCAATTGCTTCCAGGAATGAAGGAGATGGTGGTTCACTGGAGAGACCAGAGCCGAACAGCGAGCGTGATGGGCAGGTGAGTACCAAGGATGGGTGTGGGAGACAGGGAGGATATGGTCAGCAAGGAGGGGTTACTGGAAATGCAGTGTTTACTGAAGTAGTGTGTGGCTCTGGGAGTTAGCTTTCCTGAGCCTGGGATACTTGTACATTGACTGCAGAGCCAAGAGTCGATTAAAAATGGTTTTGAAGAGATAAAGGCACCCGCTGGTGTTGCCTCTGCCAGACCAGGACAAGCAGCACTGCAGCCATTTAGTGAAAGTCTTTTCTCCAGCTGTTATTTCAAATCCAAAGGAAAGAAGCAGGACAGTCTGCTTCAGTGAGCCAAAGGTGACCATGGCCATCCTCTCAGCTTTGGTAGCTGTGCCTTTCAGGCCATCTAGAGAAAGTACTTTTGCTGTATAAGATTGGCCTAGTGGCCTTTTTCCTTAGTTTCTGTTGAAGAGCCTTCTCTGCTGGCACTCTGTTTAAGGGTGATCCTGGGCAGACTCTTTGATGCTATTATGTGGTAGAGCTGGGCCAGGACATGAGAAGGCCCGYGTTCCTTCTTAAAGCTGTGTCTGTTCAAGAACATTCACCAGGGCTTGTTACTCTAGAGATGAAACTTTGAATATACCACAGAATAAATTAGTGTAAAAAAGGACTGAAGGTAAAAGCTTGAGTTGGATCTGTTTATTTTACCCATTTCAACACTGTTTTTTCTCCTTTCAGCTGTCTACCCTGCTGGACCTTGTGGGCTTCTGCTGTGAGCAAACACCAGAGATCTTGGCTCTGTACTATGATGAATTTGCTAGTTTGATTGAGAAGCAGAAGGGCAATTTGGATTTGCAGCTCCTGGTATGTTGCAGAGCAGTTTGAACCTTAGCATTTACATGAATTCTTCAGAAAAATGTTTTACAAGCATTGGCAGGATAGAGTAGATCTGAAGATTTCTCTCCGGTCTGGGAACTTTTTTTGTTCTGTAAGAGACTGGTCARATAGAAAATCCTCATTCAGCTCTCTTGGCTTTTTTTGATTGTGGCAGATTCCCCATTGTGCTTTAACAGCTTCTTTCATGTGAAATTTTATACAACAGCAGGAAAGCCTTTTAAAGGAAATTAAGTGACATTTCAGAGCATGCTGTTCCTATTCATAGACAAAAATAGAGTCTGAAAGAACTTTAAACTTAGTATTGAAATTGGTTTCTGGGTCAGACTGTTAAATCTATCTGATCCCTAAGGACTTGAAAAAGCCACAGTGATTTATGGTAGCAAATAAATGGTATTTATGGTGATAGGAGGAGGTTTGTGAAGGCCGCTGGACAGCTCTTTCTTCCTGCTGGGAACTCCTTTTACATGTGGGCTGCTCTCCTCTTCCAGCCAGTTGCTGTACCCCTCTGCATCACTCTGGAACTTGTAGTTAAGTCCACATCCAAAGAGCAGGGAAGAAATTGGTTGTGCACAATTGTTAACAATGTTTCCTGGCTCTGTCTCTAAAGGCAGGCCTTGGCACTCCTTGCAGGCAGTGCAGCTTCATTGCTGTGACGGTTGCAGGATATTTTGCTTGGCCTTATCTTCTGCATCTTCCCCTGCTGCTGTTGGAGTTTTCTTCACTGAGCCCCTTTGCTGAGCAAGTTTTTTTTTCCTTACTTATTAGGATGAGTTTGGGAAGAGTTTGGTGGAGGACTTTCCCAGTGACTTCGTGGTAGACCTCAGCCCCACAGTGCATGGGTATGCTAATCACAGATAAAGCACTGGTAATGTTTTTGTCACTGAAAACTGAGGCTGTCAACAAGACCTTGTCTGTCTTTCCTTGCAGATCATTCTTGTTCCCAGTGAAGGCCTTGTATAATCTGGATGAAGATCAAAGTCAGGAAGCAATTGCCATTAACCTCTTGCCATTGGTGTCACAGAATGAGCTGGGCAGGGTCACTGCTGGGGCAAGTAGCCAAAGTAAAAGGTACTTTGACAATTACCTGTGGGATGACTGCAAAGGGAAAGGAATTGTTTTCATTTGGTGCACTTCATGTGCCTGATAAGGAGCTGTCCAGAGAATTTATCTGTTTCCAGTGTTCTGTTCCTTCTCTTGATGTTAGACATATTTCAGACTTTGATTTCTACCAGAAATAAATCTGACCCCATTTTTTGTTCATTACAGCTATTTTTCTTCCCTTATACACTTTTCCAGAAAACTGGTGATCACCAATTATTAATTTGTGGCGTTTTTTTTCTAACCCATATGGTGCATTTCTGCTCTGGGTTGCTGGGACTTGCAAGAAACAAAATAGMAGGCATAGGCAAGGTGGCCTGGGGAGGACACAGGATATAATGGAAAAGTGATGTGCATTCTGGAGATATATAAAGCATAGGACCCACCTAATTTCTTTTTTTTTTTTCCCCAGGGCTGTGTCACCCATGTGTCTGTCACCCTGTTTTCGATTGCTGAGGCTCTACACTGCAGAACAAAACAGCGGAAGCCTGGAGGACATCGATGCCTTACTRGGTATGAAAATGGACTTTTTCTAGAGCCTGGCTGCCTGCCTTGTTGCTGTTCCAGATCTGCACATATTCCTCCAGCTGCAGAAAGAATTGTGCAGTTTGTGAAGGAGGCTGAGATGCTCTGTGCACACAAAGTGGAAGGGAGGCAGGGKAGACAGTTGCTCTGTCTGGGGAAGGAGTGGCTGATGGGCTTTACTCCAAATAGCCATTGGAATTGATGCAGGCTTTGGTAAGAGGCCTTGTCCGTGCAAAGCCCATGGGTAGCACACAGTCCAACCTGTACTTCTCTTGCTCTGTGCCAGGTTGTCCCCTTTACCTGACTGACCTGGAGGTTGAAGGGAAGCTGGAYTCTCTATCCAAGCAGGAGCGTGAATTTCTGTGCTCACTCCTGTTCTATGCTCTCAACTGGTTTCGTGAGGTGAGTAGATCCTTGTCTGCAGGTTCTGGAGTGGAGGGATGAGGGAAGGCTAGGAGAATAGAGGTTGTTCAGCCAGGAGAGGGGAAGATAGAGTGAAGGGAATGTTGGGATCTTTTACTACGGTCTTTGTTACCTAACAGAAATGTTGTGCTCCACTTCCAGAGAGGCTGTAGAATTTCCTTTCTTGTGGTGCTCTGAACTCTTTGTTCTATACGTCTGTGAGCTGACAGAAGGGTAAAATGCAGTGTCTTCATGCAGATTTGGACCATGTATTTTCTAACATCAATGGTCAGTGGGATTGCACCCTGCTGGGGTTATTTTGATAACACAAGAAGGGCAGAGTTGGCACTTTCCACATTCCCTGTCCTCCTGCTCTTCTCCCAGGACTGCCTCTTTCCTGGCAGACCTGGGAAAGGCCAAGGGGTCTCCAGAGCTGCAGATATCACAGAACCTGACAATGTGCTGTCTGCTAATTCCTCTTCTTCAATCAATATTTTGTCTATAGGTGTTTCCCTATTGTTTTTTATAGATTGCACCAATTATATCCATGTTCTTATGAGCTTCTGAAGAGCTTTGTTCATGCAGTCTGAACCTTGTCACACAGGCCACTTGTGCTGTGTTGTRKGCTTAWTCAGKACTTGAGAATGTTATTCAGAAAAGAAARAGTAATAGAGTGGGTACAGTTCTCCCTAATTCAGTGAGCTTTGTTTGTATCTCTAGGTTGTAAATGCTTTCTGCCAGCAACAGGATGCTGAAATGAAGGGGAAAGTATTAACTCGCTTACAGAACATCACAGAGCTGCAGAATGTGCTGGGAAAGTGCTTGGCAGGTGAGGATGAAACATTTGTACATTCTGGACCTGTACCAGCTGTGAAGTGAAAGGAATTGTCTTCAACATCAATGGAGGAAGCATATGGTAACACACACTGCATTTTTACAGTGGCCTAGAAGTTCATGCATGGACAGCTGTAATTTTCAATCTGTCCAAGTCCAAACTGCCCTTCTCAATCACTTTCTCAGTGAGGAGCACACAAGCTACACTCTCTAGATTCACATACACATGAACTTTTGCATATCCTCTAAGCACTGACGTATGTTGTCCATCTACCAATAACCTGTCCAGACACCAGGCCTTCTAATCTGCTCCACTGATCCCCTACACACTGGCTATTCCAGCTCACTGCTTGTTAGCAGACACACAAACTCTTACCCTTACCTCACAGGCACAGACTCCACTTTTTCACAGTGAAATATATGATCCTTCCTTTAGATATGTATCTGCCCTGTATGTTGTCACTCAGGAGCTGAACTAACCCAAGTTCTACATTTTGGCTCTTTCAGCAACCCCTGGCTATGTCCCACCACCAGCTACCTTTGATTGTGAAGCCCCGGAGGCTGCACCATCCATTAATGCTGCTGGTCCAGGCAGAAAAAGGAGTGGTAAAGAAAATTTAAAATGTTTAAACAAACAGACGTGGTGGGGGTTGACTGGCAGATTGCACTGCAGCCAYTGCACTTGTGTGTGCCTAAAGCACTAAATTCTTGGCAAAGTCTATCTAGCTTGAAATTTTTTCTCATCATTGCCTGTTGCAGCTGAAGTAGAGATGGAAAATATCCTACACCAAACAGGTATAGGGATACACCTATTTTCCTTGAGAAAGCTGATGAATAGCATTGATCAGTGAAAATCCAGGGCTTTCATTGTTTGCTTTCACCTGCCAAAGTATTTTCTGCAGCACTAAGTTCTTTGTTCGGTGTGTTTGTGGCATCATTTAGTACTGAATCTATGGCTTCAGCTGCCTGGCAAACCCCTGAGCTTTAGGTTGTACCTAACCAGTGTCTTGGGAGCCTTGTCATGTCTCTGTTGCACAGGGAAATCTTTCCTTCATCCTTTCTCATTGCTAGCTCCCACGGAGAAGAGACAGAACTTGCCTTTCAGCTTTCAAGCTGAAGCAGATTTACTTTGTTCTTCCTTGTCTTTAGTTCTGTTTCTAGATTTGATTTATTTCTAGTTTATGTTAGCATTTCCTGGGCACATACCTGCCTTAAGCCAAAGTGGACAAAAATTCAAATTTCATTCAATGAGAACTGGAGAAGGCTGTGCCAAAGCATTGTGCAGGGTCTGGGCCTGTCACGTGAGAGTGATTGAGGCAGAAAGAAAGTTTTGACTGTGTTCTGCAAACAAGAGGAGGATYCATCACTTCAGATACTCTATTTTAAAGGAGCACTTAATCTACAAACCTGTGCATGCTCCATGCTTTCTTAGTGCTGATTGAAGTGCAGCCTGTGCCTGGCTGCAGGTGCTGTCCAGTGCTGAGCACAGTTGTAGACTTTGATTCTGAAGTTGCTTTTCTGTTTAAGGAAGGAAAAAGAAGGCTGATGGCAGCAAAGCTGGCTCTGCAGATCGTTCTCAAGCAGAGGACAGTTCTGAGGGAAACCAGCCTGATACTGAGCTCTCTGAGCTGGACAAGGTAGGTGTACATCTCTGGGGACTTCAAAGAAGACAGAACAGAGAAGGTGCCTTAGAAGCTTAAACAAAAGCTTTGAGAGAGGGTTTGTTAATTCCAAAATTAATCACATCAGGTGGTTCACTCCTGCTTTCTGGCATCTGCCTCCCATCAGAATTTTGAAAATTGTCCCTGCAGAATCCACTCTCCTGCCATTTCCTTTTCAGACTGCTGCTGATAGAGAGGCAGGAAATCCTCTGGCACAGCTGCAGAGCTATCGCCCRTATTTCCGAGAGCTGGACCTCGAGGTGTTCACTGTGCTGCACTGTGGACTCCTCACAAAGTCTGTCCTGGACACAGAGATGCACACAGAGGTGAGTGGAATAGCCCAAACCCACAATGGTGAGGCTTTGTGTAACGACCTCTCTCAGAGGCCTTGGCCTTGTCTATTCTGTGGAAGTTCACAGCAGGTTGGTGTTAAGGTGTGTTGGTTCAGGAATGTGAGCTGGGGACTAGGAGAGCATTTGACATCAAGTACTTCAAGGCACTGAGAAAAAGAGGACTTACCTGAGAASAGCAGACATGTCATGTAGCAATGTTAAAAACAAAATAATGTAAATGTTGCATAGAAGGAGATACACGATAACATGTATAGACCTAATGGAAAGAAAGTGGCTTTAATACTGAGCACAGGTGAGCTGTAAGGTGTTAGATACATTAAATATTACCTATAAAAAGAACCTATGACATGTAAATGAAGCCTGTGTTGCAAAAAGACAAGTGCTTTAAGGCATTAGGAGATCATGAACAGCACAAATGTGGGGCTGGTGTCATGGAGGTGCTCTCAATGAGCAAGGTCTAGAAGCTTATATAWAACTGCATTGCCGTGGCTGTGGAAGATAAAAGTTAATTTTGTTACCCTCTTTGTAGGCAGGCTGAGTCCATCTGGAGTCTCAATTTGTCAGACTACAGTAAATGCATGAACTGTGAAAAGGCCATGGCAGGCTGGAGCACAGCCTGGTCTGCCCTTGCAGGGCAGCTGTCGCTGTGCATGCAGGTCACAGGCCAACTGGAAGAGTGTTTGACAAGTCTCTTGGGCTATGTGGCGTTTTTTGAAATTACTTCTTGACTGTTACTCAGTTGGTGAATTTTGTGACTCTTAAGGCTTAAACCTCTTTTTATCCTTAKCAGCTTATTTTTAATGTCAATATATATAAATCTGTTCTTTCTCAATAGTAATGTTGTACTGATATCGCCTCAGCTATGCCTACAGCATTAGGATGGCTTCATGCTTTCAGTAACCAGAACTAATGCCCCATTCCTGGCATTGGGGAGCATAAAACCAAATATCTACCAAATAAGGTCCATCTGAGGTTAACTGATCCCAGAGTCATGACTAGAAACAGAGGGGGTGAAGTTGAGCTTCAAGTCACTACAGTTACAGCTGGGTCCTGGGACTGACTGTTCTTTTAATTTCAGGCTCGTGAAGTTGTGCAGCTGGGGCCTGCTGAGCTTTGCTTCCTTCTGGATGATCTGTGCTGGAAGCTGGAACATGTGCTGCCCTCRGGCTCCACAAGGAGGGTGCCCTTTCCAAAGGCAAGTACAGCAGCAGGTGATGGGTCCAGGCCTGAGCTGAGGCCGAGCACATCAGGAGCCTCCAGACCTTTCCTGAGAAATGGTTTTCAAATTTTTTCCATCTGACAGTTAAGTGGAAGTGTGACACCCAGCTGTGGGTCAGAGCAGCACTTGCTCTTTCAGAAGAGACTTGTGTACACTCCTCTTACTGAAGAGTTTGCAGCATCTGGTTCTCTGCGTGCCTCAGGAAAGGATATTTAACTGAGGGAGCATTGTAGCCTCAAAACTCAACTGACCCTTTTCCTAGCCCTCCCTGGGAAGATTGACTATGCTGTTATTCAAGAAGCAGCCCAAGTTAGCCAGGCCAGCAGAAGCTGCTGCATCCATGTTTCTGCCTTTTCTGCATTAGAAACCCCCCCTGAGTACAGGGACTCCTTGCAGATGCCCTTAGGCAAAAAGGAAATGCATGTCCCACTGCATTAAACTGAGAAATTCACTGCAACCTGATGGGCTCAATCRTATTCATTGTTCTTTCTCCTTGTTTTTCTACCTATCTTAATTCCCACATGCAGAGACTGCCTTCTCTTTGTGTYTRAGWWMAGAG